AAGAGCAAGAAGAAGGCTTTCACCAAGTACTGCAAAAAATGGCAGGATGAAGATGGCAAGAAGCAACTGGAGAAAGACTTTGCGGCTATGAAAAAGTACTGCAAGGTCATTCGTGTCATCATGCACACACAGGTCAGGGTCTTCCTCGGCTTGAGAGAGTGGTTAGTGCTGGGGGGTTGGCACAGGGGTTGTCATGATGGGGTCAGGGGAGACAGCCTGTGAAAGCAGATGAAAGGCTGTGGGGAAGAGCGTGCGGACAGCAGGAGATGCTGGCTGCCCTTTCCAGCCACCTCCTGACACCAGTCCTGTCCATCTGAGCGGGCTCAGCAGGGCTCCCTGCCTGCATATTGACACAGGCTGAGCCCTGTGTCAGCAAGAAACCTCGGGCCCCATGATCACCTCAAATTAGCAACTGGTGTCGAGTGTTGGGAAAAAATAACCCACAGGCAAACACAATTTTGCCAGATGCAGATTGCTGGCTATACAAGGCCCGTTTTTGTGCTGATCCCTGGAGTTAGCAACTGCATTGGAGCCTGTGGCAGAGCTAAGCTGGCTTAACTTCACTTGTGGCTGATGCAGACGGGGAGGGACACTGGCTGTCATAAAAGAAGTTGACATTGTGGTGGAGAGGGGTGATAGGGAGCTGTCTCTGCTCACTCCTTTCCTTTCATTAGTAGTGGGTGTTGTGGCCCTGCCTGCATGTTCACAGGGTGTGGGGCAGCATTTTGCCCTATTGCACTGTCTTAACACAGATGAAGCTGCTTCCACTAAGGCAAAAGAAAGCCCACGTGATGGAGATTCAGCTGAATGGTGGGACAGTGGCTGAGAAGATTGATTGGGTCCGTGAGAGGTTGGAGAAGCAGATCTCTGTGCACAGTGTCTTCAGCCAGAACGAGATGATTGATGTCATTGGTGTGACCAAGGGGCATGGAATGAAAGGTACAAAGTGGGAGGACCCTTGTCAGGGGCTTGGCTTTGTCCTTCTCACCTTATGCTGCCCCTAAGTTAATGCTGGGGGGAGAAGAGTGTGAGCCACGCTGAGAACCCACCAACTTACTGTACAGGGAGTAGCAAAGAGCCTGTGTATCTCAACCACAATGTGCATTTCCACTGTAGCAGAGTTTGGTTTCCTTTATGTCAGCGTTGGCTATGTTGTCTGCCATGCCCAGTGTCCTCCCTGAAGGCCTGGAGGTGTTGTGAGGATGTAAAGGCACTGCACTTCTTGTAAAAGCCCCACGTTTGTGAAGATGTGTTTTTTTCTGTGTGTGGATATGCTCAGCAGGAACATCGCAGTCTGATCCGATCCATTGAAAGTGAGAACAGTTCTGTGCTCTGGCCCCTCACTGTGGTGACAGCTCTTGGTCTCCTTCCAGCACGGTGCCTTCTGCGAACTTCAGAAGAAAGACAAAACTTTCTCCTCGCTTCACATTCCCTCCCAGCACTCAGACACCAGCCTTGAATCTCCCCTACCCTCCCCAGTGTTCTCATTACCCCTGTCCGGTCACACTTGCAGGGGTGACAAGCCGTTGGCACTCCAAGAAGCTCCCCAGGAAGACACACAAGGGCTTGCGCAAAGTTGCCTGCATTGGAGCCTGGCACCCAGCCCGGGTCGGCTACTCTGTTGCTCGTGCTGGCCAGAAGGGCTACCACCACCGCACAGAGCTCAACAAGAAGGTATGGCCCAGCACTGCGCCTCCCTTCCATGCTGTCACCATCCTTCTTTGCACAATGGCCTCAGTTCCCCCACAGCTTCTTGTATGTTACTCTAGAGATGTGCAGGGCTCTCATTCTGCATCTCTCTTCTTGCTCGTTTCATGCTCACAAGGTGCACCACAGAGCGCATCTCAGTGATAATCATGTTTGTTGTTTCTGTGACATCCATCAGTGTGAGGACACTGAAGTCACTGTTGTCATTTCCTTCCTTTTCTCAGATTTTCCGCATTGGCCGTGGGATCCACGTGGAAGATGGCAAAGTGGTGAAGAACAATGCCTCAACAAACTATGATGTCACAGAGAAGAGCATTACACCTCTGGTAAGGGGTAACAGGGCTGAAACTGGCCCTTGTTGTACGAGTCTGAGTTAGAGAAGTAATTCTTTGGCAGGACACAGCTGCATAGGAAATGATTTGAATTCCACTGAAGGAAATACAGTCAGTGTGGCTGAAATGCTCTGGTGACACTGGGTGGCTGTTCTGAAGTGTGTACAGTTCAGACAGCTTGAAGGTCTGTCAGTTTTTCCTCTATTAGAAAACGTCACCAGCTTGTCATGTTCCAATCCAGTCCTCCTGCCTGCCTGCCAACCCTCTTTGTCTCTTCCTCCAGGGTGGCTTTCCTCACTATGGGGAGGTCAACAATGACTTCCTGATGCTGAAGGGCTGTGTCGTGGGCCCAAAGAAGCGTGTGCTCACTCTGAGGAAGGTGAGAGCGCAGCCGGTGCTGGGGAGGGACTGACTGTAGCTGTCTACTAACAGATGTACCACGTGCATGAAGCCCGTGAATGCTGGGCAGTGAGACTGGTTGAGCTCTTGATGCAGAGAGCATGTGGCACATGAGCATGGTGCTCAGTGAGACCATTTGCAGAGTGCTAACTATGGCAGTGTGCACCCGAATGCAGATGTACCTTTGGGGGTGTGGCTGGGGGAGTTGCAAGTGGAAACCTTGGCCATAAACAGATGGTGAGGAAATGAAATGCAAAGCAAGGAGCAGGCTTGTTTCAGAGCTGCTCTACAAGCAAAGGTATCACCTGCCATCTGAGCACCAGGCTGTTCCTCTGGAAAAGTAGATTTCATGGAGCCAATTGCCTGATGGATGCACTGAGAACACCTGAGCACTGCCTTCATCAGAGCAGACATCCAGATTTTCTGTAAAGATAAGCCTGATGCACTGTGACTTTTCTCTTTCAGTCCCTTCTGGTGCATACGCGCCGCCGAGCTCACGAAGCCATTGAACTCAAATTCATTGATACCACTTCCAAGTTTGGCCACGGCTGCTTTCAGACAGCTCAGGAGAAGCGTGCATTCATGGTGAGTTACACTCTGCACCAGCTCCAGCTGCTGGGCTGTGCTCACAGCTGGGACTGACTCCAGCCAAGCATCTGCTTCTAGACACAATAACAGCCAACTGAGTGATTGGGACCGTCTTACATAAAAGACAAACATGAATTCAATTCACACAGCAGATATTGTGCTAAGGAAGAACATGATGATCATATGAGTGATCCAAGACAATGCAACTAGCAAATAATATACCATATGGCCAACCAGTTTGCATTCACCTTGAGATGTTTTAAACAAGCAGTTAACTTGGCAAGCACTGTATTGGACATATGGTCCCTTTCACTCATGATTTTGAACTTCTTTGATTCGTTTGGAATGATTTAAAACTTTAATGTTCTTAAGAGGAAAAGGTTGGGTCAAATTCAGCCACAAATTTGTGATTTTTCTATCAGGAAGCTTTCAGAAAGGCCTACCAGTATGTTTTTCTTAAATCCAGGGCAAAATAAATTCAAAACAAACGTAGCTTCTTGATTAGTTTTGCAGCCTACACCAGGCTGGTGCCTGTGTCTGAATACAAAATACAGGAAGTGTTTAGTGAGCTAGGCCTGCAGTTAGCAGAAAAGAGAAAAAACTGCTGCATAGCAGGCAGAAATAAACTATGTCTGGATGTGGTCTGTTAGCCAGAAATCCTACATGAAGCTAGCTAAGCCTCCTTAGCCCTGGGCAGGGGGATTGGTTATGCGGTGTCTTAGCAGAGCTCTTTTAGATGTTAAGCCATTTTCCTTTAGCTCAGCATCAGGAGCTTGTTCTGCAGTGAGAATGTTCTGCTCTTGTTGTCACTGCAAGTCCTGCATAGCTGTGACATGGAGCTCAGAGACAGGGAATGGTTTTACCTGTTTGTGGGTGGTTTATTTGCTATTTTCTACTGTGGGGTGAGAGGTTTCCCCATGAATAATATGGTAAAACTTTACATTTTACTAGAAGTAATATGGCACAAAAGCAATTCTTGCAAACTGCTCCAATGGGACTTCTCTGATCCAAGAAAACACCATTTATTTGCTGATAGAAACCCCTCAGCCTCACTGAGTTGGCTGATGAGATTCTGTGCCCTCAGCTGTGGGAAGTCTTACCTTCAGGCTCATACAACTGGGTGGCTCCAAGCAGGTCATTGCCACTTGCTGGCAATGTGTAGTTCAGATAAACACTTTTCCAAGACCATGATGTTTTGCTTGTGATTCCTGCAGGGCTAGCAAGGCCCCAGATTCACTGGTGAATGGCAGCACAGGGCCACCAGATGGGAAACAGAGGCCAGCAGCAGCCTAGCACAGCAGAAAGGGGCCAAAGCTGCAGTATTGCTCCACACAGCTCATATACAGCCTTCAAAACCATGTTTGTGTGCTGCTAACACTTAGACCTCTCCTCACTGCTCTCTTGTAGGGCCCTCAGAAAAAACACCTGGTGAAAGTGAAGCCAGAAGAGCTGTAAGGGATGAGATATACAAGGCTTCCTAATTGGACAAACTTCAATAAAGGGTCTACAAGCTGTGCCTGCTGCCTGTCTTCCTTCTGGAGGAGTGTCTTGCTGTGTACACTGCTTCCTATGGGCAGCAGTGTGTCCTCAAGCACCTCAGCCACTGGAGATGGTACAAGAAGCACTCGGGACAGGTTCTCATGGAGAGGAACTATCTGGGAAGCCAAGTGTGTACTCTGTCCCTCTGGATCCTCCCTTTCCATGGCCCAATGAATTTCTTCACTGGCATGTATTCACTTAAACCGTGGTGAAGGACTCCCCTTGTTTTCCAGAGCAGAGCAGGGGCCAGCAGGAAGCAGAAGGCTTCCCTACTGACTGCCTATGCACAGCCTCACTGACTGTCTGTCCCCTTGCCATCTCCTGCATGCACACACACGTGCTCTTCTTGTTGAGCACAAGCCACATACTTCTCTCTGCACAAGACCCCTGGCTCCCTCAGCAGCCCCAGGATTTCACATACAATGACATGGCTGATAGGTAAGACTGGCCAGTGATGGATTTATTCAGATTTTGGATTAGTTTCTCACCCGTTTTCCTTGCAGCCCAGCTGCCAATGGAAGGGTGTGATGAGTCTTGGAACTGTGGTGCCTTGGATCCAAGGTGATCATGACTCATTGAGTGCAGAACTTATCTGGGTGTCCTGCACCCTCTTTGGGAATCAGACAGTGGAAACTACGGCCCTCTGCTGCTCTGGAGCTGTCCGCTTGGTTAGGAGGAATCCTGAGATGCTGGTGGGAGGTGTGTGAAGTTCTTGGGTGTCCAGCAAACCCCTTCCCCTGGGTCTGCTTTGTCTCTGAATTTTTTCTTGCAATATTTAAGGAGCAGGCTCATCTACAAAGTGCAGGATGCTGAGAATGAGATGAACTGAGATGCTCAAGTCCCATGGCATAGTACTGGATGCCATCAGTGGCCAGGCCTCAGCTTGGTGATGTGTCCCAGTGAGGTCCCTGAGCCTTTTGCAGTGTCTCTATCCTTCCCATAGGGCTGCACTTCAGAGTCTCTTTTCTCCCCTGGTTGGAATGTCCCTGGGCAGCTCCCCAGTGAGTGGCTGAGGATTCAGGCCAGAATGCATTATAGGAATGATGAGATCATCCATGTTTGGCATCACCAAAATTTTCTGTAAAGAGGAATCCAGAATAACAAGAAATTGATTTTGAGTACCACAACTGACAGGGTTTGCTCAGCCCTTCAGTGAACCCAGCCCTTAAGGTCAGGCACCTGAAATTCATGCTGCAGCTTCTTCTCAATCCACTCAGTGACATGTACAAATGTTACCTCCCTCTCACCCAGCTTTGGGCACACCTTCAGCTCCAGCTGGGGTGGAACTCGGAAGCTGTACCTGTAAGGGGAGAGGATGGAGGCAGAAAGCATCATGTCCCATACACATGGCACAGCCCACATGACCAGCTTGCCAGAGGCCTCACTGCTGGATTCTGGGGACTTGTGTCCCAGGAGGAGGTGGCCAGATTGTGGTAGGAGGGGTACATCCCAAAATTGCATTTTTGCATCTCCTTCCAGGTGGAGACCAGGAAGGTCTGAGGGTCCTTTTGGGAGAGCAGCCCTGGTTTGCTGGGACCCTAGATGAACCCACATCCCAGCCCTGGTTTCTTGACCAAGCCACAGGGAGATGGGAAGATGGCAGGAGGATGCACATGGAGCCCACCCAGAAGGAAGGAGAGCTGGTACCAGACACGGTCAGTTGGTGGCGGTGGCACATTCACAGCCAAGGTGCCTGCCAGCTCCTGCACCTCCACCATCAGCAGCAGTGGTGTGTTGGAAACTTCCTCGATCTTCTTTTTGATGAACTCATTTTCCGTCGCCTTCTGGAAGTACTTGGACTTGGCAATCTTATCCACAAAGCGCAGGATCTTCCGGCCCGTGCTGTTGCTGCTGACATGGCTGAGACGAGGGAACCCACAGGATGAGACCCCTCAGAGACACAAGTCCCTTTCCAGGGGTCACCATGAGGTGGTGGGGTGCCCTCCTGTACCCCTCAGCATCTCAATCCCAGAATTTCCCCCTCACCCTTCAGTGCCGGGTGGCGGGACTCGCTCCCCTGGGGTTCCAGCAGGCTCTGCGGTGACAATGTCCTCCTCATCAGAGGAGCCAGCACTGGATGACTCTGCATCACTGTCTGCCAGCAGGATGAGCCGAGGCTTGGTCCTGTGAGTCCATGGCTGCATCAGTGCAATGCCATGGGAACAGCACCCTCTCACCTCGCTCAGGTGGAAGGATGTGGGTGAAACCCAGCCCTGTAAGGTCACCTTACCCTTCTCCGCTTGGCTCCACCTGGCTACTGTCCTCTGCAGCACCCTCCTTCCCCAGCTTGCAGAGGTTCATCTTTGTCTCAAGGGTCATCTGCAATGAGCCGCTGTAGGTGACCTCCATGTCCACCCAGAGACCTGCCAACAACAGAGGGAGTGAGCCCCCATCAATGCCACAGTGGCTGCTCATGTGCTTGCTAAAGCCTCCCTGCTTGGGATCCAGGCTGGCACCTTGATAATAGCCACCATGAAGCCAGCCCTGCTGTTCCTGCTGCTCTGCAGGGTTCTTACCTCTCTCATTGATGGTGGGCTTGGAGGCACTGAGAATGGAAGGAATGGATGTGCCCATGTCCAGCTCTGTCAGTTTCAGCTCATTCATAAAATATGGGAGCTAAAGGAGGGGAACCACGTGGGGATGGTCACCACAGCCTGGCACCCACCAAGAAGATAGGACAGGGTTCCTGTGGGTGCTGCCATCTCCTGTGCCGATTCCTGCTTCTCACCTTGATCTTGCTCAGCTTTTTCTGGATCTTGCTGGACACCTGCTCGGCCCAGTAACGCTCCCGGAGGAAGTCCCAGAAGATGCGCCCTACCAGTGCATTCACCCAGGCCACACAGCCCTCACTGCACCCAGCTGTGTCTTCACTGAGCTGTGAGTGGGAAGAAGCCACGAGTGCCTGGAGTCAGTTGGGACCCCATGGGCTGGGGCCCTGCACTGCAGCTTAGCTGCTCTAACCATGGTTTTGAGAAGGAGATGAACACCAAGCTGGGAGACAGTAGTGCATGTAGTAGTGCATCAGCTCTGCTCAGTGCTTGCATCCAACTCTGGGTTCTCACCTTGGTGGCTGCGGGGCTGCCCAGTGTGCTGTGAGGGGGGCTCTGCTCTGGGCTGCTCCCTGTTTCTGCCGGCACAAATTGGGCCATGTAGGTGCTGTAATCCAGAAAAATCTTCTGCTGAAAGATTCCGGCCAGCTCCTTGGATCTGATGGCAGAGGGGATGTCCTCAGTGCTCCCACTAATGCTGCTGGCACCACTCTGTGCAGCCGGTTCTTTGCCTGGGGACACAGGAACATGTGCAAGGCTGGCTGCAGCAAGAGGTGATGCGTGCAGGATGACGTGCCATGATGCACGTGCAGCGATGTGCTGCATGGCTGCCGTGCACACACACCTTATGCTGCAGAAAGGGAATCTTGCAGACTGGAGGACTCTGCATAGGTGAGCCCTGTTTCTGCTTCTCCTTCTCCCTCCCCATTCACCGGTGCCTATCCAGAGCCCATCCTCCCAGCACATGGCTCCGGATCCCTCCCAGAGGTCACATCTCACCTGGCCTGGCTTCACCATGGCTGCTGCTGGGGGTCCCACGGCAGGCTCGCAGAAGATGATGGTACCACTCCTCCTTCTCCCTTCCTGTCCTCCCAAAGAGGTACAGGCACCTTTCCCTGCAGTTTCCTGGGACGTCCTGGCCAGGTGCCTGCGGCTTCCTCGTCCCTTCTTCCCCTGGCTGCTCTGTGCCATGCTCATCGCTGCTCCTGTGCTCTGTGTCTGTCTGCTCCGGGAAGAAGATGCAGATGGGGTACTTCTTGTTCCATAGTCGCTTTCGAGCCAAGCCAGGGGGGCAGAGGGAGACCTGCAACATCAAGAGGAGCCATGAGGCACTGCGTGCTCCCTGAGAGGGGACAATCCCAGCTCCCAGGGTACCTTTGCACCACTCATATCGTAGCAGCGATGGCTGACGAAGACGACATCGAGGATCTCCTCCGCAAAGGTGGCCTGGCGTGGGATGTTGCTTTTGGGGTAGGACAGCTTGAGGGTGGCCCCATCCAGCGTGGCCAGCACCGAGTGTGTGAGTGACGGGTGGTACAGCTCGGGGTCATAGGTGTGCAGCTGGTTCAGCCAGCCCTGTGGGGACAGAGCCGGCCGGCCGTGGGCTCCCCAGTCCACCCCACAACGCCTACTGCTGCCCTTTTCCTACCTGCAGGCTGCGGGCTCCCTGCAGGCTGTCCGGGAGCAGCTCGGGGCGCAGGCGCGGCAGTGGCGGTGGCTTCAGCAGGAGGAGCAGGACGGCGAGCAGGCCCAGCAGCAGGCCGCAGGTGAGGCCCAGGCAGAGGCCTGCAGCATAGGGCGGCAGCGGCAGCACCAGGTAACCGTAGGTGAGCAGCGCAACGCAGGCCAAGGCCCGGCCCGGCACCGCGCCCCCAGGCAAGGCCGATGGCGGTGGCTGCTCCGGGGGCTCGGCCTTGCGCCGCGCCACCTCCACCACCTGGATGACGTCCCCGTAGGAGCAGATCTCGTAGCGGCAGTTCAGGGTGGGTTCCCAGGGGCTCCAGTCCCGCGCTCGCTGCCCCCCATCCCCTCTGCCCCCCGATTCCCCTCGCCCTGGGCTGCCCCCTGCCTTTGCCTGGCCCGCAGGGCCGCTTTCCTCGGCCATCAGGCGGCTCAGGCGGCTGAGGGGCTCCTGCACGGCCTCTGACAGCCGCCTCCTGGTGTCCTCCAGCCTGGCCTCCCGCAGCCGGAGCAGCGCGGTGCGGCTCTCCGACGGGGACACACTGGGGGAGGATGGAGCCGTGCGGGATTTGGACGGGCCCAGCCGTGATTGAGGGCCCCGTGGGACGTCAGCCAGGAGCATGGAGAGGGGCTTCGTGTCCCCCTCCATGGGGAACAGGGTCGCGCTGCCCTCCCTGCCGCGGCCATTCTCCCTGGTGCTGGCGGGATGGGACTTTGTCCCGTCGATGTCCCTGTGTCGAGGAGAGCCCGGGGATGGTGCCAGGGCTGGAGAGGCCTCCACCGCCACTGCAGCCTGGTCTGCCATCGCTCGCATCGCCGGCGGTGCTGCTGAGAGAAGAGCAGAGAGCAGCTCAGCTCGGTGCCACATCGAGACGCAGCACATCGCCGCCAAACGACCCAAGGCTGCCATGATCTGGCTGCCTCTGGGCCTAATTTGGGATATGCCTTTTGGGACTGGGCTGCCACTGCCAGTGGGCTCATTGGGGTGCCTGACCTCCACCGCTGCCCCTCCCCTTGCAGCATCCCCACAACAGGAGCAGGGATGAGCCTGGGGCTGCCTCGTGCCTATGATCTGCTTCGTTGAGATCTTCAAAGCACTTTCCTACCATGAATTAATTACAGGCTGCATCGCAGCTGCCTCCAACTCCATTTATATAATCTCATGCTTCGTGGCTTTCACTTTGCTCCTCATTTACATGAGCCAACTGTTAACCCCAAATAATCATGTAGGATGCTCAAGGAGAGCACAATGCAGCTTCTGGAGCTAACAGCCCACGGGACCCAGTGCAAGATTCATCCCTGCTCTGCTCCATACTCCTGCAGGATCTGCCCAGTCCCAAGAGTGCTCTCCTTGTGTTAACTCAGCAAACCCAGCACCAGGTGGAGCCCTGTGTTCTGGGGCTGGTGCCATCCAGCCTGCAGCACCAGCCTGGTGGTTCGGTGCCGCTCTGCCCCCAGTGCCACAGCTGCCCCCAGTGCCACCCACAGCCCTCCTCAGCCCTCAGTCATACCTAGCAGAAATCCCCAATGCCCGGGGGAGCTGCCTGGCTGCTGCTCCCTGTGCCAGGTCAGGGGCAGGCCAGCTCTGCTGTGGTTACCACCTCTCCAGAATTCCTGGGGTTTTAGAAAGCTTAAAAAAGAAAATGGAAAAGAAAATGACTGTTTCCTGAGAGACCATTAGCACAGTGGAAGACTGAGATAATAATAGCCTGTGTTTATATGGGAGTTTTCATCTGGCAGGGACGCCAAGTACAGCGGGGGCTATACACACTTGTGCAAATGCACACTGCAGTGCAGCCACCTCTGGGGTGCGGGGGAGGCCAGGACTGTGTGGAGCAGTGGGAATGGAACCTGCAGCTGCCAGGCTGGGCCACCAGCAGCCTGCAATGGTGATGCATGGGATGCTCTATCGAAGGAGCTTTGCTTGGAGCATGCGCCACTGGACCATGGCTACAAAGGTCAGAAAGCCTCTCAGCCAGACCCATCCTTTCTGCTTCAGATGTAAGGCTGTGAGCCAATCTGGTGCAAAGAAACACGAGCTGCAACCTGTGCCTGCCTGGTGCCTTTGAGCATCTTCCCCCAAAATGCTCCCCTGACACACACAGTACTGAGCACTTCTGCTGTGCTTCACTGCTCAGCATTGGCTCATACCAACAAATGACACCCACGTCCTCCCAGGCGGGCCACTGCCAAAGTAATGTTTGCTTCTGTTGAAAAATCAAGGAGAGTTAATTGACAAATTAATTTCCAGCAGTCCTCTCCCATTAATGAGAGCTGCTGATGGCCACTCACTGGAAGAAGGCTGGTGGCAGAGCTCTGCCTCATCTCTGAGGCTTCTTTCAGCCAGCCAAACAAGTTGGAAATCCCTCCACTAATTATCTTCACAATACACTGCTGCAGGAACCAAACCGCCGTGGCTATTAGCACTGTAACTGGAGAGCTCTCCACATTATCCCATGATTAAGGACTTTGATGGAAGTTACACTGCAGCCTAAGGACATCAATCTGACAAGTGCAGACTGCTTCTCGGCAAAAACGGAGAGCTTTGAGCACAGGCATGGATTCCCCTCCTGACAAGCCTCCAGTCAGCACAAGATGGGCTGGACAGGTGCTGCTTAACTAGAGACTTTCTGGCTTATGCTGGCTGGAAATCTGTGCCCAGAGGTTCGTGCAGTGCTTCAGTGTGTTTGGAACCCTCCCTGCCGCTCCCTCTCGTTTGCTGACAATGAATTACAAAGGAGGCACCTTCCAAACCACACAGCAACACAGCGTCCTCGGATCCCCCAGCCCTGCCCCGTGCCTGCCACAAACCATCAATCCCTGGGGCTCGAGCGGAGCGTGCCTTTGCCTGAGACACACGTCTGACCTAATTTGAAACGGCAGCATCCAGAGGGCAGGAGTGTGGGGGTCTGCACATGATGGCCCCCCGGCTCTGCTCCTGACTGAGAGACGTGGCCACGTCCGTTGTCATTAAGAACCAGAGCCCATCGGAGTGCTTTGCTCCAGGCCTCCGGGCTCCTGCAGCAGCTGCTCCTCAGGACAGTCACCTGCACTTGTCCCAAAGGCCCTGGTGTTTTTGCTCTTGCAATCTCAGCGAGAGCCCATGGACTGAATCATCCAATAATATTCAGACACAGCCAGCAGCTCGCAGTGCCAGGTATTTCAGAAGGAAAAGGAAGCGACGCACAGCTCATCGCCTCCCAGCGCCTGCAGTTCACCTTCACAGCAGAGCTGTTCCCTTGCAGCTCACCGGGCTGCTGCCACCACCTCCTCCCCTTGGAGCCCTGAGCTCAGAACGTCCCATACCGTCCCCCAGCGAGCCGTGCACTGCAAGGACGGTCCCCACAGAGTCTGGAGCTCTGCTGTGCCTTGCTGAAGTGGCAGGAAGGGCCACAACCCCTGTTGAGCCCGTGTCCCATAGCGACCCACAGCTTCTGCCCCTGGTGCCGGCAGCCCGGCCCCGCACTGCTGCCCGTGCACCCCTCCGGCAGCACACAGGGCTCTCCACGGGTGCCTAACCTCTTTCCTCCTCACCCAACACGCCGTCCCCTGAGCTTCTCGCTGAGCCCCGAGCGATGAGCCCCAGGGGCTACGCAGCCTCCAGCACCGCTCCGCACTCCCGTACCTGGCTCGGACGGCAGCTCCGGGATGGGTCGGTCCCGGTGCTGAGGAAGGACGAGCGGTGCTGGTGCTGCCCTGGAGAACTGTGCCGGGGGAAAGGGCCGGTGTGGGGCAGTCCCGGTGCTGGAGGATCCTGTGCCGGTGAAGAAGAACCGGTGCCGGTATCGAAGGGCTAATGCCGATGCTGGGCAGAGAAGATCGAGGCCGGAGCCGGTGCTGGAGGTGAGCGGTCGGACCTGCTCCTGGTCTCGGTGTGGCGCCTGGATAGACAGTGCAGGGCTGCGGCTCGCCCCCTTCAGCCGCGGTGCCGGGAGCATCTGCAGGACCCCGCTCCGCCCCGCCGAGCTCCGCCCCGGGGCCGGTCCCGCACGACTCCTTCGGCTCAGCTGCCCCCGGGGCTGTGGGGAAAGAAGTGGGAGGGGAGAACGGGGGCCACCAGTTCCGAGTCCGCCCGGGAGCCGGTCCGGATGCTGCCGCGGGCTAATTAACGGCAGCAGCCGATCCCTCTCCGTATCCCTTCCTGATCCTGCAGGAGCTAATCCTCCTCTCCATCCCTGCCTAATCCTGCAGGAGCCGCCCGTTCCCGGCTGCGGCTGCTCGGCAGTAGCCCTGCTATTAGGGGCTCAGGAGCTGCGCGTCGACCCCACGCGGCACACGGACACAGGGACACGGGGCTCACAGCTCCCAGAAACGCCAACACCGGCGGAAGGAACGCTGCCACCGTGGGCTGTAGGGAAAGCGGCGGGGGGAACCTCGGCGTTGCGGGACGCCCCGGGGCTCCGCGGCGGCTGCGTCACGGCGCCATCTCGCGGCCGCGGAGCCGTGCCGGTACCGGGGGCGGTGCGGGTACCGAGGGCGGTACCGGGGCGGAGCCGGGCGGCAGCGGACGCAGCCATGTCGTTCTGCTCGTTTTTCGGAGGCGAAGTGTTCAAGGACCACTTCGAGCCGGGTGAGCGGGGCCGGGTGGTGGCGGGGAACCCCGTGTAGGGATGGCGGATTCCGGACCGCAGAGCCCCGCTCGCTACCGGCTCTCCGGGATCGGCAGTTGTCCGTGATGGCTAAAGTCCAACGCACGTGGGAGTCCCGTGGTGGCTGACGTGGCCGCCGGGCGACTGGAAACGAGCGGGGATCCCCGCGGCTGACCTCCTCCTGCCATCCTCCCCAGGTGTGTATGTATGCGGCCGGTGCGGCTACGAGCTGTTCTCCAGCCGTTCCAAATACGAGCATTCATCCCCCTGGCCGGCCTTCACCGAGACCATCCACGAGGACAGCGTGTCTAAGCGCAAGGAGCGTCCGGGGGCCTTGAAGGTGATGACTGTGAAACAGCTCCCCAAAAACCTCAAATCCTCTTTTCTTTACATTGTCTTTTTTCACTTGTTTTCTAAACCTTCTCTTTATATTGCTAGGTGTCTTGTGGCAAGTGTGGCAATGGGCTGGGCCACGAGTTCCTCAATGATGGCCCCAAGCGGGGGCAGTCCCGGTTCTGAATATTCAGCAGCTCACTCAAATTCATCCCTAAAGGTGAGGGATGGGGTTTGGTGGTGCCTCCATCCATGCTGTTATTCTGGGGGGAGCTGCTGAAGTCTGGCCATGCTGTGAGGGGGATGCACTGCTCCCAGTCCTAAACAGATCACAAACATCTCAACTTGGTCAGGCCCCATGGGGACCTTGCTCAGTTAAATGCAGGGTGATAGAAGTGGCTGTAGGTCCCCGTGTTTCAGAGGAACCTTGGTGCTGCAAAGCAGGACAAGAGGCTGCTGGAGAATGGGGCTTTGCTGTGTCCTTCCAAGCAGCAGTCACATGTAGGTGTGGTTATTGCCTCTGCTTTGTGCATAAGGAGGAAGTGCAGGGAGGACAGTGCTTCCTTCCTGTATGGTTATTGTGCTTCTTGGTTCCCTGGTATCAGAAAAAGTAAAACAATTTTGGAGGCTGCCTCTGTGTTCAGGGCAGAACCCAGCTGTGCCATGCTGTTCTGTATGTAGGATGGCAAAGTAACTGCATAAAATGGGCGGGGGCTCTGGAGCCAGGAACACAGGCACTGATTTCTTTCTTTCTCTTCTTTTAGGCAAATCAGACAAAGACCTACAGGAGAAGTAAGTGAGCTGCTCTACATGACCGTTGTGAGGAGCCATTCTCACAGCTGGGATGTATGGGAGCAGGGACTGTGACGGAGCCTCTGGTTTCCCAGTCTGCTTTCCTGCTCCA